GCAGTCAGCTGAAGTAGCCTGCAGTGCTGCATTTAACCACTGCGCCACCTCGGCTCTCTAGATGCTGTACCAAGAGCAGGGGAGAGCCACTTCCTTCTGCAGGGTTGAAGAAAGAAACTTTCCCTTTTTCTAGAGTAGCAGTCCTCAAACACGTGGTCTTCTTAAAAACAACGGAGGACCAAAAAGAGCTTTGTGTTACGTGGATGATATCCCCCCGCCCATATTTATTTTCCCTGAGGAAGGTATCACATAGAACCTGGGGAGGCGGATCTGATGTATCGGTTGATTGAAAGCCAAGCAGATTGAAAGCATTCTTTGCTTCCCACAGGCCTTGATGTCCTTGTTCGTCCTCTCTTCCAAAGATGGCTGGGTGAACATCATGTATGACGGATTGGACGCCGTGGGGATTGACCAACAGGTAGATGTCCTGAGAGTTTTCATGGGGGGGTTGCTCAAAGACTCATTCCCACATGCATGTGCAACTCAATGGTTGGCAGTCAACAATGAGGTCACCATCCTGGCTAGGGTGCTGGTCATTCATTCACAAGAGGGGATAACCATTATGCTATAAATGACCCACACGGATGATGATAACGATGATGAAGAAAATAACAGAATAACAGAGTTGGAAGGGACCCTGGAGGACTTCCAACCTCCTGCTCAAGCAGGAGACCCTGTAGCATTCAGGGGATGATGGTCCATCATGGTTCAGTTAGGGATTATGTCACTCAAACATTGCTGGAGAGATTTGCCTGATGGTGTCCTTTGTGGATACCTCCTAAAGAAAGGATGCTGCCCCAGGTGGGCCTCACCTTCGGTTGGGTTGATTCTCCAGCTCCCAGAATCCCCGTGATGCCTTCTCCTACCCACTTCCACCCTGACCCAGGAATGCTTAATCAGCCATTCCATAAAAACGAATGGAAGACAATCCCAGGGTCTCCTAGTCTTTCACTTCTGGAAAACAAATTCGTCTGAAATGACTTTACATCCTGCAGCGCAACTGAGTTTAAAAGCAAAAATAAAGATAGTCGAGAATTATCAGATCTAAACTGTTCTTGGGAAGTTCCCTTCCTTTTCTCAGTATGAAGTCTTCTCTTTGAGTTTTTATTTTATTTTTAATCTTAGACTCCCCGTTGTTATCCCGTCGGGGTGCAGAGCATGCGACTGAAATCAGAAATAGCTCAAAACAGGCGATAGTCCAAAAACAGAATGCAATTATTTCAGGCGGCTGGGCTAGCTAGGGGTTTATGCCATGGGGACATCCTGGCCATATTCCATGGGGGAAGGTGCACTGACCAGTGAGCTGGTCAAGATGCCGATGTTTCCAGGAAGCTCCAGCTGTTCTGGAGCCCAATGGCCGGGCTCAGCCTCTGGAGGTCGAAGGGTTGCCCCTCTCCCTGGGTCTTGGCAGCCACTCATCTTCAGGGTGGGCTCCATCTCCATTGTGCTCATACGCCATTGTTCCTTGTCTCCCCACCCCCATCTCTCCCCTCCTCCTGCTGCCTTTTGGCCGCCTCGCCAGCCCAGCCGGAACCATAACCTCTGGATGCTTCTCTACTTCATTTCCTTCCTCCTCATCGTCAGCTTCTTTGTGCTCAACATGTTCGTCGGGGTGGTGGTGGAGAACTTCCACAAGTGTCGGCAGCACCAGGAGGCCGAGGAGGCCCGGCGGCGCGAGGAGAAGCGGCTGCGGCGTCTGGAGAAAAAGCGCAGGAGTAAGGCGATATACATGTCTGGTCGGTAGACAGCAGTACAATCACAATCTTTCCGAGACTTGCCTGCTCCCAACGCCCGTCTCGACCTTCCTCCTTATGGCCTGGTTTTCTTGGGGTTGGTGATGGGTACCCCGAAAGACCTTTGGAGATGCTTTAAGAGCCAGAAGGCAGCTCGTCCTTTCTTCCTTGACGCACGAGGCTCAGCTCCATGAACTTCTCCCTTTTACCTCCCAGCTCAGCAATCATGAGCACGGTTCGGAGGTTGGTTGCTAACGGTTCGCATCAGTTCGGCCGAACCGGTAGCGGCAATTCCAATTGGGTCACCGAATTGGTAGGGATGGCAGGCTGGTCATGCCCCTGAACTGGTTCTCCGGTCACCCAGTGCACACAAAGCCCTCGCAAAGCAAACCGGCAGGGATGCCAGCATCAACCCCACCGCTGGCACGGTCACCCCCAAGCAGATATTGGTGGCAAGTTTCTTCTGAGAGCCCTTTGGTGGTCTTCGCACTTGGCTGTTTTCCGGCACGCATTTTGTTACCCAAACATCCTCAATTCTAATCAGTTTAGGTCGTGAAGCGTCTGCACGAAAACCACCAAGCTCAGAGAGCACCAAGGACCCCTCATTGCAACCCTGAACTGCAAATGTTCCCCTCTCACAGCTTCTTCAGAACCACCAAGATTGGAGCTCTGGGGCGTTTACTCCTAATTCTTGGCCTTGAGAGTTTGACCCCCAAGGGAGGCTGGAATCTTTGAGGTGACCCCCCCCCCCTTCCTGCCATTTCTTTTGCCATTTGCAGTGGAGGGGCGGGGTGGGTGGGAAGACTAGGAGCATCACGGATGGGCTGACGCTTGTGAGTGAAACGCAGCCCAGCCACCATCCCATGATTGCAAAGAGTTCTTGGAAGAAGAACAAAGCGTAATTATTAATATACATCCAGAAAGAATTACAGGCGGGGAACCATGCAGAAAGTTTTGCCTGAACTCCTGGAACTCAGAATGTTAAGATGGGAAGTTTGTACAGGCATCATCCCTTAGAGAGGACTATAGAGCAGTGTTTCTCAACCTTGGCAACTTGAAGATGTCCGGACTTCAACTCCCAGAATTCCCCAGCCAGCGAAAAAGAAGATGCATTCATGGCAGCGAATGCTGGCTGGGGAATTCTGGGAGTTGAAGTCCGGACATCTTCAAGTTGCCAAGGTTGAGAAACACTGCTTTAGAGACTGCACCAGTGACAGCAAACCTTTTCAGCACCGGGTGCCAAGAAGGGACAGTGAGCATCCACATGTGGCACCGAGTGCCAAAAAGGGAGCACTTCGAGGGTGCGCTCATATGCGCCGCAACCAGGAAGAGGAGCTGCCCAGGGGCCATGCCTGTGCCCAAAACTGGACTTCTGGTTTGGGGTGCATGCATGTGCGCTGGCCAGCAAGGCTCCTGGTTACTGCTGCGCCAATCAGCTGCCCGGCGTGCATGCTCACGCCATAAAACAAGGCCAGCTCTTCCGATTTCTGGCACTGACGCAGGCACAAAGGCCAGCTGATCTTCGTGGAAGAGGAACGGTTGGCCATCACAGGACTAGGGAGACCAACATCTGATGAGAACTAAATCCTAAAGCAGGCAGGATATCCAAGCCCCCCCAAATCCTCCATGCTCTATAGCAGTGTTTCTCAACCTTGGCGACTTGAAGTCCTGTGGACTTCAACTCCCAGAATTCCCTAGCCAGCTATGCTGGCTG